AAGGGAGAACAGAAGAGGGATAATTGTAAAAATAACTTAGAGCTTGGTTTTGTGTAGCATAGTACATGACAGTCTATTACACTAACCGACTCATTCAGTACACATATATTCCTAAATATTATAAAAAGAAGAATTATGTTATTTAAATTACAAGACTTGGTTTACTCTGTGCTGTAGAGTACCACTTGTCTGAAACTAGAGATAATAATGCTATGAGGGCATACAGCAGAGACCAGAAATTGAGGTATACTGTATAAAAACACATACTATCTGTCAAATTAATATGCCGTTATACTTATCAATGTTTATTGGGCTTTAAGCAAGAACCTGTTACGTGCTGTTTTGATGCTGCTTCTGCTTCTGTTGCAGCCCTTACACAATGCATTCCAATAACTTCTGTGTGTCAGACGGTTGTCACTTAATTTTCAATCCAGTAACCCATAAGTCAGTGGTTAATATTGTAGTTTCCCTCTGCTGAGTTCATATCTTTTTCTGTTATTCACTCAGGAATAATTATTTAGAATATTCTTTTATCAGAATAATGTTTTTGATTTGCATTGGGAAATGGGTTGAACACATTCCACCTGCCCTAACTTAATTTAAAGCTAATTTAACTGAGGAATTTGAAATTCCACAGGATAAACTTTGGTTCCTTAACATAAAATCAATACTGAACTGTGACATTATTGCATGGTTTTATTGGTAAATGGCCTGTTTTTATGTAGCCCTTTTTTAGGTCAGGGGACTTGACCAATGTGTTTAACAGTACATTCTGTCATTCATCCATTCACACACTCACACACTGATGGTGGCAAGCTACATTGTAGCCACAGCTGCCCTGGTGCTCACTGACAGAAGAGAAACTTCTGTACAATGGTGCCACCGGACCCTCTGACCACCATCAGTAGACAATGCAGGTGAAGTGTCTTGCCGTAGGGCAAAAAAACACTGAAACTCCTGCATCCTACAACACCTTTTGCTCCATGTGATGGTTTGCAAATTTTAATTAGTTTATTTCTACTTTATATACATAGTAGTTTATTAGTTTAGTTTAGTTTAGTTTCAGTGATTCTTTTTTTTTTTACTGTAATATATTTAGTCTGGAATCGTTTTATTTTTGTTTTTTAAATAGAAGCTGTTGTGATTATATTCCATATGTGTTTAGCGTTGCTGTTTGACAATGATCACACTCAAATTAACTCTTTCATATTTACCCTAACAACACAGCCATTTGGACATTTGTTCATTAACATTAAAATATAGATGTATTTAAGCTTTCAACAGCCCCATTAACCAAAGGAGTACATTTGAGGTAACCCTTGTTGAAGGGAAGTAACACTGAGGTCATTATTGAAGCTTAAAAATATGAGAGAATTGTTCTATTCTCTGCAGGAATGGGCTTATCACAGTGCTTTAACTTTATACATCAATCAACACTTTAGGAAAAAGGGATTTCTTTAAATGTTCCAAAAGTCTTTTCTTTCTCAGTTTCATCCCTTGAGCTCTTCAACCTTGTCACAGTTACTTACAAAGGCCGTGCGTCTAAAAAGTAGAAGGGCCCAGCATTGACAGTAAGTCACAATGAGCTGAGGGGAGGTGTTGAAGGGTGCTGGGTGACTGTACATGATAGAAGAGTTACCAACCAACTACAACATGGTGTCAGAGGTTCATCTCAGTGTGCTCCAGAGAGAGAAATACAATTCACTTTCAGGCTCAAAGTCACACTACACACACTGTCACTGGCTTAAGCTGAGTGCTGACTGATTTCTGGCCCCCTCCTCGTAAATAAGCACCAGTCTTCAGCGTGAGAGACTGTAGATCAGGGTGTAAATGGCTGAAGATATCATGCACTGCAGAGTAATGCCCACATAGAGAATTGTCTTTAACTTTCCACATTAGAAAGCATGCAAATTACTAAAAAGAAGCAACTGACAGAGAATCTACTTGTTGTATATCTTTACTTTATTTTATTACTTTACTTTATTACTTTATAAGCAAAAAAAAAACCAAAAGGGAGAATGCTAATCCACCCCAATGTGGTCCTCGATTCCTTATATTTGCATTGCTGCTGTCAAAGCCACCTGCCTGCAGGTTGACGCTGGCACAACGCAGACAATAACATTAAAGACAGGAGTGGACCGTTTTATGACTTCAGCACTTTCAGTTTTGAAGTCTTCTGGCACCAGTAAGTTTAAATTATGGTGGGAGACGTCCTTGGGATGTGAACATCTCATTTCACCATGGCTTTACGCAGCCACACACATATACACGCAAACCCCCTACACACACACACACACACACACACACACACACACACACACACACACACACACACACACACACACAACTCTTTATTGGGGTTCTCTGGAAGACTGAACTCACTGGGGCATGACATAAGAATTATACATCTGACAGCTGTAAACCTGCAAACTCCTCACACACACACTCACTTTTGTTATAAGGAAGAACACTAACTTTTTGCTCACTATCCTGAGAGAGAATCAGTTCATGTCTAAATATTATTGCTGTTGATGTTTTTTAATATCCTTTATGCAAATGGGAGGCTTTTGTTTTATCCAATCTAATATTAAACGTAGCTACAACAGCTGTCTCCCTTTACTAAACAATAGAAATGCTATTTGAGGAATTACTGTTTTATTCTTCAGTAAGCATTTAGTTGCTATAATTGCTTTCCTTCGCTTCAGTTAGAGTGCTACAGCAAACAGAAAATGCAGTTTTAGTCAATATTTAGATTTTACTATTTACAGATGAAAATAAACATTTTGCATTCAAGCACAAATGAAAATCTATTCTTGTTAGGTTTCAAACTACATTATTAAATCATTAATAATATTTTATGCAGTGTATAAACAGGGAGCCAGACGCACAGCTCTTCATAGCTCTTAAACCTTATCACACTGCATTATACTACAGCCACTAAAATTACAGTTTTATGGAGATTTTAACTGAAATTAAATAGTGCATAATTGTAAAGAAGTAGGAAAATGACTCATTATATTCTATTTCAATTTTAAAAATAAAAAATCTGCCATACATTGGTTCTCAGCTCCCATGTCAATACTTTTTAGAAATACTTGTAACTGTCATTGAGGATGACCATTCTGTCATATGATTATACCTGCATCTAAGCTGTTCTATTGAATGTGCAGCCATATGTATAAGGTCATGGTCCTGTCGATCCTGCCTCTCAATTTTGTCTCAGTCCCTTTGTAGTCTTTAACAGCCCCCCCATGTCTATATCATAGACAATGGTTCAACTGTTGTGTGTGGATTGATGTACAATATTTTTTTTTAACCACTTGCATATTGTTGCTTTGTTAGCCTTGTTCAGTTTTGTTCACATCAGTTGAAAGCATCTTTAGTAAGTTTAATAGTATTGTTTCATGTCAGCAGAGCAGGACATGAAACAAAAGTGTTAGAGCTACTAAAGATGCTTTCAAAGATCTGATAGATGCATGAATTTCAAGTCACAAGTCATCTCCTATATGACATGTGCCAAAATTTTAATAAAAATTAGCTTTTTACTCAGTAGAGGCATAAATCTTTCAACTTTTCCCAAAAGATCCGATTTATTATTCATCTTACAGGTTTTCTTTAAATGGACTGTCACCGACTGATGAAAACGGAATCACCTTCAATGATACGCCCTTTGCCACTTTTAGTTGGACGACTGTCTGAATGAGTTTGCAGTTGTACCATTCTATTTTTCTTTTAATATAATGGATTACTGTGCTCCCTAAGATGTAAAAAGCTCAGAATAATGCATTATTACCAATTACTTGTTGGTGTGTGTCAATTAATGTTCTCTAAGAAACCTTTACAGAACACCTGGGTTTATGGCAAGACTGAAAATAGAATAGAAATAAAAAATCCTTTTATTGCCCCACAATGGGGAAATGGTGGCGTTACAGCAGCAAACGATATATATAATAGCAAAAGTGGTGAAACAAATGTGGACTTTAAAAAGAGTATAAAAATAACAGAATAACTGAGTTAAAAAATGTAAATAAAATACTGTACTGTACAGTGTTTTTACAGTATAAATACTGTGCATGTGGAGAATAAATCAACAGCTGTGGACATTTTTACAGTAATGGATATGTGAATAAATAGCAGTAACACCAGAGATGTGCAAAAATGAAGCATGCCGCATGTTATTTAACGACCCAGACAGAGACTGTACAAAAATCAGTATAAATGTGAAAACTTATTGAGGTTGTTGGTAACAATGATGGTTATGAAGTCTTATACACAGGTGGATATTTTTATTTATTTATTTAGAGGCCGTACAACTAAGGTAGCTAAATCTATCTCTATGAAATTCTAATTGGATTTGTATTTCAAATAATTTTTGAAAAGTAGGCCTATGTATAATTTTGCCTACATTTAAATTGTGCACCAATTTACTGTAAAGGAAACTGAATAAAATGCACAGGTTTAGTGGCTGTAACATGATCAAATCAGAATGAAAAAAACTCAAAAGGTTTGGGTACTTTTGACAAGAGCTGGGTGAGCTTTAGATGTAGAATTTGTTTAATGATTACTGATAACAATCAGGACTTGGTGCCTGAGTTTTAAAAAAAAAGAGTTTAAAAAAAAAAACCCTGCTGATCTGATCCAGTGTATAAATACTTATCCAGATCCTGCAGCAAATGGTGGAACATCCAGGATGCCTAACAGCTTTCTGCCCATAGGCACATGGAGCAGGATCTGAAGCATCCAGTCAAAAAATAGCAGGCTGAACTCCGCATCTCCATCCCAGCTGCGCCCCATCCCAGCTGAGGATGTGATCAACACCTGAGGACCTGCCCACCTCTCGCTTTTTCCAGCTCACTTATTGGCTGTTTCTTTACATATTTAGCAAGCTGTCAGTCTATTGGCCAAACTCTCACACCAGCGATTTCATGGAGCATTTTATTTTTTTTTTTTTATTGTGGGGAAGTTGTGGGAAAGTGTGTGTGTATATGTGTGGGAAAACCCTTTGATATCCGCGGAATCAACAGCTCCAATTAGCCGAGCCATACACTCTGGGTTTGCGTTTAAACGCGTCGTCCTCTGGCTGCCAGTCGCTGCAGGATTTCTATGGAGTTTTCGGAGCGCCTCTCTGCAGCTGTGAGTAAACCTGTCTATGAAACAAGCTGCGCTCTGCTGAGATGATGTCCTGCAGAGAAAGACGCAAAAATAAAAGTTCCTCTAGAATTTACTGCAACTTCTGGGGCTTTAGGCAAAAAGAAAAAAAAAAAAGAAAGAAAAAACCTTGATTAATAATTTGCTCGTCATGTTAACAAGTAAAAATATTTTAATCAGCTACCAGCGGTGGGAATAATTGTCGCAACTTCAGTGGTACCTTTTAAATGCTCATGGGCAGAGAGTAAATGTGGCATAAGAGTAATGATTGCAGCAGTTTTTATTTTAACTTATCTTATCATGCTTTTGCTTTTCTGGATATGTCTTACTTTGTTTTTAAAGAAAAACAAAACTTTTCTAACATAGCTGGATAGATATAGATGTTTGCAGTGTGGTATCATTTCGTGTTTTCATCTTTTTTACCTATTTAGAATTATGTAAAAAAAGTATATGTATATATATATATATATGTATATGAAATATGTCTTTTTATAGATAGATAGGTATAAATTAATTAATTAATTAATTAATAAAAGTATACTATTGAAACTTGTAAAACTATTTCATTAATAAAACATGCCATTAGGAAAATAAAAAGCTTAAGGTAATGTACTTTGGGTCTTTGATTCCATGTTAAGTTTGAAGAGTCTCTTTTGTCTTTTCTCATTCTGATATTATAGACATTATACACATTCTAATGCTGTGTTTTCTGCCAAAATAAAAGTAAATCACCAGGTTTGGAGGAGTAGCTACTGTATATGTGAGTGTGTGTTTTCTGCAGTGACGTTTGTCCTTCAGAGGGTAAGAGTGTCTGGAAGTGTGTGTTTAAAAGTGAAGATGTTGCTGGCTCTTTTGTCGCAGTGTTATCAGGATCAGAGCCGGGCAGGAACGCTCCAGAAAGCACATGCTGATGTTGCACGCTGTGGTAATGGCCTCTTACCGCTCGTATAAATAATCTAATGGAAAAACATCAAACAGCATTGTTTTTATTCCCCAGCGCTATAATATGGCATTTGACTGATTTAGAAAAAAAACTAAATTGTTTTGCTTCCCATTATTATTGTTGACCCTGCAGATATCCCACCATAAAACACCACAGAGTATGTGAAATGCTTTGTGGTTCCATCACAACTTCACTTGAGTGGGATGTCTAGGTCTTCACTGCAGTGAACATTGAGTAAAGTGACTGTATGTCCTTGGCTGGATAATGTAATACCTCATGACATAATCAAATACAAAATTCCCCTGGGGTCTCAACCATTCTTTAAGTCTAAACTATAAAAGGTCTGACACCATTTTTAGGCTGAAATTTAACTAAACATGTATTACAGAAAAAAGGAAATCAGATTCAGTAGTTTAACTATTTATCCCACAGGTTCTGAGCAGTATCAGTGTACTGTATGTAGAGATGCACTGATCCAGTTTTTGGATACTAGTACTACTGGCTGAGTGTATCGACTGATAACCAATATGAACCATTTATCTTCCCATGTGAGGGAAGGCTTTAGCCTCGACATAAACATTATCAAAAAAGGGTAACAAATGAACACAGATATAAATGTACAAACACGCAGCAAAAAGACTGAATTAATAGTTCCATAAAGTGCACTGAATTGGATCTCCGATATTTGATATAAAATCATTGATATTGATCCAGCTAATTAGTTAATACCAGAGCCGTTATCCAATTGGTGCATCTTTAACCATGATAAATACTATTGCCAGAGATTTTAGGCCCCATTATCCCAATTTTGATCGGGATCTGGCTTCCAAAGACCTAAAAAATGTTTATGTGGGTTTTTTTTTGCATAGTGTAGATGTTTAAGGACCTTAGAAAGTTTCCTTTAAATGTTTCATATGGAAATGATTTAGAAAACAACTATATTTACATTGAACTAGTTCTTTTACAACATCTTTGAAAGGTACATATTAACACATTATATTTGGTATGCACATTTACACCTTCATGGTCTCGACACAGATCCTCACACCATATTGGCACTACAACAGTCTGACACTAATTGCACAGATATTAAAAAAACAACAAAAACAAACAATAAAAAACTTATTATTAATAATAAGTTGTGTCACTAAGAATTCCTGTTACTTGTTGTTACTACACCTAGATGTTTAGTATTGATTAATTTAGGCTTATTAACGTTTATAAATATTAAGTGTTTTTATACATAAGCTGATAGTAATTTATGTACTGGGAATTGTTTTATTGTTGTACACACTTCCAGTGACTTCTGATGGAAGGTCGTCTTAGCTAAATCTGGTTCAAAACATCTCTTCTCCTGTTTAAGATTAATGTTTTTATAAATGGTCTTTGTCAAATAAATAATAAATTAAAATTACCTGTAGGAGGGTTTTTAGCACAGCATCCTCATCTTGTACACACCCTGACATCTACATAGCCTTAAAAATGACTTTTAGTCACATTTAGCTAAGTTCTATTTGCTTAAAATCAAATCAAATCAATCAAATCATTTCACAATGGGCAACTTTGAGTTAGGATGCATCAACTTTGTGCCCAGCATTGTGTCATCTCTTGCTCTTAGTGGGTGATGCTAAGGTTACATCAGCAAATGATCATACAAATAAGGTGTGGAGTTTGATGAATCGTAAAAGCAATATAAAGTATTTAAGGCGGCACAGTGGATCTGTTTGCAACAATTCCTCTTTTGGATTTGACTTAAGAAATATTTACTCTGAAGCACAATTCAACTATTTTAGTTTTTCCCTCTATCACTTTTTTTCATAACTTTTCAAGAGCCTTTACTCCTTGTATTATGTGTTGCCTTTTCTATCTACTTCTTGACGTCCTAAACTAGCCAGCTCATTTGTCTTCACACTCTGCTCTAATGGGGAGAAACTGCTTTTAATTAACCCTTCCTGCTAACAGCCACTGTCTACATTTCTGACAGATAACCGGTATGCATTATCGCTGCACAGCTTGCCTTCAAATTAGTAGCGGCCCCCAGCTGTATTTCTGCAGGTGTCAGCTGAGGTGCCTCTTCATCTCACTGCAGAGCATTACGCAAACAGTGCAATAGTTTTATCTCAAATTGAATTGTTGAAGGAGACGTTAAAGAGTCATACATCACTGGAGCGCTCAGAGCTGAAGGAGGGAATATGCAGCAGTCAGGAAGCAAAGAGGGGAGCGTCTCATTGGTGTCACAGAGCGAATGACAAGGGATGTGTTCATAAATCCATAAGAAAATCAAATTGTCAGCTTATAAAAACACATTGATGTGATTCTTTTATTTTAGCTGTGAGAAGGTGACCTGTGTTTTTTTTTCTTAGTCTTTATTTTTGCAAAAATCTCTGCCTGAATGCTTCTCACATAAGCTGGATTCAATCAGTATTGGGAATTCTTACTCGTAGGTAAACACAAGTAGAAAGGAACAGCACCTTATGCTGTATGGAACAGGTACAGGTACTCTTGAGACTTCGCCACTCACCACTGATCAAGAAGTTGACAATCTTCTATATCTCTTAACATAGCAGAAAATTAAAAAATCTAAATATATTTGTACTTTTCAGACTAATATAAAGCATGTGTGAACAGGTGAAAATCACTGTGTGTAGGTTATATGCTGTTTCCTTATGGAGGCAGCAGAACCTAAGAAGATAGCCTAAGGAGATGATCCAGTATTAGAGGAGGCAAATGGTGTGTTTTACTCTTCAGGTGAGGATGTTGCTGTGCCTGCTTCTCTTCCTGCCTGCCCACTCCACGGCTCAGCGATCAGAGCCCATGTTCGCTGCGATAACCAAGACGGCTCTCCGTCCGGACTATGAAAACAACCCCAGCCAGCTCAACTATGGTATGGCTGTCACTGACGTTGATGGGGACGGAGACCTGGAGATATTTGTAGCTGGGTGAGAGGAGTGTTTCACTTAAATTTATTGTTTTTTTTTTATCTTGCTACCATTTTTAAAGTGAACCGTATATATACTTACAAAAAGAAACCATTTGGAGTGCTATCTAATTTGAGAGACTAAAACTGAAATCCACTGTCATTGTCCTAAGTTAAACCCTTAGAACAAAGGTGAAAAACTAAAAGAGGTGACATTAAAGTGCTCTGATGTTCACTGAACCGAAGAAAATGGATGTGATTGAATAGAATGCCAGTGATGGGAATAGCTTTCCAAGCCTCATGCTATCCAGTGAAGCAGCAATGAGATTTTCAATGCTTAACAGAATATAGATGAGCACAAATGAGCATGCTTACTAAATGTAATTTAGCCAAAACAACCTATTCAGCAGGTATCCCAGGGATAGGAACGTCCCACAGTCTTATGGAGGATGTAATTTAATTTGCCATTAGGAGGATCTTTGCTTGAATTGCTTCTATAGTTTATATTCAACTTGTGTTGCTGACCTTTAGTCATAATAACAATGATCTATTAAGACATTTTTAATCTCAAACATCTTAAAAGTATGTCTGGAATCGAAATTTAGGACACAAGACTCATGCTGGAAATGATAAAATAAATATGAAGGACTTTTGTTTTTGACAACCTTATCAGCTTCTAATACCTTGCAGGATTTAATTATGTATGAAATCTTTATTTTGACTTTTGGATTTTCAGTTTAGTGTCTTTATTGTTGAACACCCCTACTTTTAAAGCTCATAATTGGAATTATTTCATATTTTGATCAGCAGATTCAGGCTTAAAATTTTCCCAGCCTGTTCATTCATGTTCATTCAACCTAATGTTCTGGTCTGTTGTTCCTTGAAAGGTTAAATTACATAATTAAGAGAATTTATAATGCAGGAACTTGAAAGACATGGCAGACACTGGTGTGTCTGGTCTGTTTGTTTAGAGTCACATTTATGTAGTGTTTTTTAAATTGAGGTTATTCAATTGAAGTTCAGAATGTATTTCTGTTTAACTATGAAGCTGTGTCCTTGTGTGAGAAAGTGAAACAGATGATTTTTTTAGTAGAAAAATGACAGTGTACAAAACCAAGATGGGCTTGTTAAGCCCAAAAGAGTCAAAATGTAGAGGACCAAGTGGACTCACTGCATTTTATTTTTAAAATGTAACACAGTTTTACATTTGAATACAAAACTGATCTTAATTTCACAAAAAGTAAAAAAAAAAAAAAAAAAAGCTTAATAGTGTAATTTTTGACCTCTAAATTGCAGTGTCACACTCTTTCATTTCAAAAACTGGGTACTCACACTCTGAGAAGCCCCCTTATATGTTAGCAGACACTCTCTATCTTCAAAACTGATTTATTAGAGCATTTCTGAAAAACAAAATAAAGTTGCCATCTCAATCTGATTAGCAACTAAAACTTAAAATGTATGTATTAACCCCCCCACACAAAGTGCATCTGTCGGATCCCATCACACAGAGATCTGAAAAGGGCATGAAGTGAAAGCAAACAGCTATCAGTGCTCCAACTTTGTATCGTTTTTTAAAATGTTTCAGACATATTAGATACAGAATGACAGGAATCACACAGGACAAGAAATAAATAAATAATTTAAGGTATGTACATTTATCCGGCCTGGTTGCAGATGACGCGTACATTATCAATGTGATATAAATGTTTTAGGAGGGTGGACAGTGGGGTTTTCATCAGATATTATTCCTAATTTATGTTCTTCACAAAAAAAGATTAAAGAAAAAATTAGTCAGAGTTTAAAATATTATTCATTTTTATCAAGTTTTATATGCTTTTATTTTTTTTGAAAAATAGAATAGGTCCTACAAGGGTTGAAGTCCAATGCCAAATTTATGTTGTTCATTGCAAATAAATAAATGCATTTGTTTAGCTATAAAAATGTTTTTAATGTATAACACAAGGGTCACCAACGTGGTGCCCGCTGGCATCAAGGGGCCCTCAGGGGCCACATGGCGTGCCCACAGTGTCTTCTGACGACAGCACAACTCACCTGTGGGCTAATACTGAAATTTTATTCTATTGTGTTGCTCTTCTTTTTTAATAATTTATAGAGCATTTCATCATTTAAATCATACAGAGCATTTAAGCATTAATAGAGATTTCCAAATGACAATATCTGAAAGAAGATTAGGAATTAAAAGAAACAATAAAAATATGTTTATTGTGTATGAAGTTAAGGTGAACGCTGATCCCCCACAGTTCATAGGTCAGTATTGGTAGCCCTTACTGTGACTCAGTATTCATAAAGTATTCCTCAGCCTTAAAAACTTTAGTGGACCCTGTGTGATTGCATGAAAAAATATACAGAAGCTAGATCTGGTCTGATCCAACAATATCTCTGTAGATCGTTATATATGGCGAGAGAAATTCTAAAGCTTGAATTGATTAAATGTAGTCCTATTGTTTTAAGGTACTGACTTATAAAATTTTATATTTGAATTCTTACCGACATGGAATCTCTGGTTAGGTATCCACGGATTTTCCAAAATGTCCAATCTCATGGGAAAGGTTAGAAAAATACATATGTAAAGAGGTTTCATGCTACATAAGAAATTGTTTCTTTCTTTTTATTATTCTACCCAGTCTGGTCTTCACTTTCTAACAACCAATTTAAAAGGCTCTAAAGTGCATTTGTATTGTCTTGTTTTGTATGTTTTTTCCCCCTGATCATCTACAGCAGACCCTCTAATAAATAAAAGATTGAAATATAGTTTCACTAAATTCCTGCTCAAATACAAAATGCTAATTAAGAAATAAGCAACTACTACAACGTTTGATGAGGACGGTTTCGGTTCAGTCGATTACCTTTGCTTCATGAAATATAATAGGCTTGGCCTCTGTATGTTTACAGATACAATGGTCCGAACCTGGTGCTGAAGTACGACAAACAGAGGAAAGGACTCATCAACATCGCCATTGATGACCAGAATTCCCCATTCTATGCCCTGAGGGACCGTCAAGGCAATGCCATTGGAGTGACAGCATGTGACATTGATGGAGATGGACGGGAAGAGATTTATGTCCTTAACACCAACAACGCTTTCTCTGGTACAGTACTAGCGGTTACAAAGGCACATAGTCTGCTCACTGTATCTAAAGTTGGACAATCTGTAAGCAGCTTATCTTATCTGAGTCTTCTTCAGATAACAGATAAGCTTTGTGCTGCTATAAATCATATAGAGCTGCAATGAGTATGCTGCTAACACCGCAGTACCTCACTGCTGTCATTTTTCTAAAAACTCCACACTCACATTTCTACCACACCAACTCTATATTCTTGTTTCTACCCACAGCATTTATCATGCCTCAGAAACCCCTCTTTGCTTCATCCAAACTTGTCTTTTTAACTCCTTACCTCTGCATAAAGGTCGGGCAACATATTCCGACAAGCTGTTCAAATTTCGCAATGGTCGCTTTGAGGACCTACTGAATGACGATATAAATGAACACCGAGATGTGGCCAACCCCATGGCTGGGCGCTCTGTGGCCTGTGTGGACAGAAAGGTACTTCACACACACGTACCCAGTAGAGTACAGTATGAAGTCTACTACGCACACACAACCACTCCTACTAGTGTCTTATGCGTACATGCCCGGTTGCTTCTGTTTGTTTACCAGTGATAAGTCATGCCCTGCCTACGCGGACCGTTCTCAGCATGTGCTCTGACAGTTCATTTGGGCGAATGGTGCGCTATTTTCTCTCCTCTGTCCATCGCACCACTGTAATTACAGAAGCAAAAGCTCGTTTGTTTTACAGAATGCATCCTACAAAGAGAGGGAGGGAGTGATGACTGCACGCTTCTGCTTTCTGCCTGTAGTGGTTTCCTCCCTCCACTCATTTCTTTTGTTTTTATCCTATTCTCACTTACATTTTTTGCCTTCTTCTGACTGACATGCTCCGTCTTTGTCTCTTATCTCACACACCAGCAAACAGTTCTCCTCTAATAAGAGGATGGTATAAAGATAGTTATAGTCGAAAGAGGACAGCAGGGATTACAATAGTTTTTTTTTCTTTTTAACAGTCCCATCTCACTGAGCACTGATAGGAGGTGCAGGTGCCAAGCAGATTGAAAAGATATATTCTTTAATGGCGTGATTCTTTTAGAAAAAGCCAAAGCTCTGATGCCCACCCTTGCATGCCAGTACGAGCTGATCCAACATCTCATTTTTGCTGCCCACGTGTCATGCTCCAGAGAGAAGCCAAAGTGTACTGCATTGTCAGCTGAGTAGTTAACATGTATGATTTTGTTTACCCTTAACTAAAGATATCTAATAAGAGAAGAGGCAGATTTGTCATCTGGCGATCCTGATCTGGGTCTCCTTGAAACTGCTGTCTCATTATTATTCCTAAATGACTGATGAGATGGACATATTAAAGGTATAGTGGAGGATGTTCTTTTTCCAGGTGGATCCTCAAAATAAGTGGTCCTCCTAAATGTCCCTTTTCACTTACCGGTGGTGAGTCTGACATAGTGGAAAAATGTAAATCTTTTTTTTTTGAAAGTTGGTTTGTATGAGCGATGCAAACAGCAACTTTTAAACAGAGCGTGCACAAGGAGAAATGGGCTTGTGCATGCTCTCACACATGTTAAATAGGCGTTCCCTCTCAGGAGTAGGTACAGTGGTTGTGCATGTGCGTGTATTTTTTTGGGTGTTTTTTTTTTCAAAAATTCACAAAAATCCTCCCCCTTACCTTTAAGATGTCTTAGGTTGAGCTGATGGATCAGTCCGCTTGGAAAAATTCCAGAGGATAATAAGTGGACTTAACAAGTTCAAATGACACAGATGTTTTCAAGTGGTGATCGTTTATTTTTTTATAGAATGACCAACGGTTTCTGTTGATAAAACATGACATTACACATGGTCAGTCTTTCATCTTTATGTGGTCCTGGCTTTGGTGATAAACACCATCGGCGTCGCCAGACCCCATTTACTGGGGCACGTGCCCCAGTATAAATGAGCTGTGCCCCAGTATAAATCTCAT